CGAATATCATCATATCAACTTCAGCCTAATCTATCGGGAAAAAAATCCCTCATCACAATTGTTTCGTCCAAACATAAATGACATATTTCATATAATCAAGTATCATTATATCAACCAAAATATGGTAAAATAAGGTTGCCTTGACCATATAAGTTTCACCCTTATAGAAGTTGCATCATCTAGCTTATCAAATATTTTATGAGAATATTATTTTGATTGGTCAAGAAGAATTTTTTATCTCTTCCATCTTGATACAAGGACATGTTTGAGCCAATAAATATCATCATGTCAACGTCAATTTGATCGAAAAGACTTTGTGCTTGTCACAATTCTTCTAACCTACAACTATAATAAGAATTTTCTTAATTTAAGAGGCTAAAGGATCTCGAAGATCAAATGTTATAAGTTCTCTAGGAAGAACAAGGATGAAGGTAAATTAAATACCTAAGTATTCAAGACAAATGTAGTTTCATGGTTTTAAAAGAACAAATTCACATATTTTTGTCCATTAAAGTGTTTTTTGTGAATCAAGTTCAAATTCAACAAAAATTCGAATCTAAACACATAAATATTACATGTCATTCCAAAATATAAATATTGACAATTGACAGAAAATGTTTCCAACACTTAGGACATGCCCTAATTGGATATCCCTGTTGATCATCAATCAATTTACCCATACAATCCATATAAGGGCAATCAATAAATAGTGGAAAACCAAAATTTTTATTAGATGACTGACATCTCTTACTCTAATAAGAAAATCGACCGACATTATTAAATTGATATCTAAAATTTCCTTGCAATCAGAAGTAGGACACCTTATAGAAACCTCATGTATAACCTCATCGACATTTTTACCTATATAATTATGTATGCATTCTTCACAGTAATGATGATTGCAATTGGTGCCCTACATCATTATGTTTGACAGCGAAAATACATCTTCACAAATTTCACAGAAAGTACATGAAGATTCTCCCTCTTGAGTAATACTATTCTTTAGGTTAAGTGAATCTGGAACAACAAAATACTTAATATCTATAGGTTTTTTACCAACACCATAATTAGAGCTTGATTCCAAGTTCTTACAAGAATGAAACTGAGCTGAGTAAAAGAGGATATTTTGCAACTCAATATCATTTTTTCAACTCAATATCATCATCTCCGCTCTTATAGCCATTGTTATATTCAGTGATAGCAATGAAATCAGAACTAAACGAGGTAGAATCAACTTCAACTTCGTTGGAGTTCAAGATTCGCAATCTGTTGATTCCATATCAATTTGATTGTAATTCACGATTTGCAAATAAGTTGGTTCCATTTCAACTTGATTGGAATTCGCGATTTATGAATTTGTTGATTTCATATCTACATCGGTGGCTCCGGCATATCTCTGCAAATTGTGTCTTCTATGGAGTCTTCGGAAATTCTTCGACCTTCTTGATGATGACAACCTTTTGTTCTCGATTTTTGGCTTCGGCTGCAAGAATTGTGATATGATAGGGCGCTTTATTTTGCTGTCAGAAGAACCTTACATTTCATGCTCAGTACACACACACAAACACACACACATACACACGCACAGCGCGCGCGCACGCCCACATTCACACATGCAGCACGCACGCACGCACGAGCACACAGCACGCGCGCGCGCACTTACGCACACACATCAAGTTCTTTTTTTTATTTGACTTTTTAGGGTTTTAGAATTAATTTGGATTATACCAAATTTAAAATATATTAACAATATATGTGCGATTTGGTATGCCAAGTGAAACGGTCAATAAGTTCATGCCTCATGTTAAAAGTGATATTACATATCTAGTCAAATTAACCACGTTTCAGAACGTGCCTCGAGTACAATTGACGTGTTTCAACCATTAAAAAATGTAAACTAAAATTTTATTGGTAAAAAAAATCATCCTAATCATAATTCTTTCCTCTCAACAAGACTAACATGTTCAAACTAATCGAATATCATCATGTCAACTTCAGCCTAATCTATCGGGAAAAAAGTCCCTCATCACAATTGTTCCGTCCCAACATAAATGAAATATTTCATTTAATCAAATACCATTATAGCAACCAAAATATAGTAAAAGAAGGTTGTCTTGACCATATAAGTTTCACCTTTGTAGAAGTTGCATGATCTAGCTAATCAAATATTGTCATGAGAATTTTAATTTGATTGGTCAAGAAGAATTTGTTATCTCTTCCATCTTGATACAAGGACATGTTTGAGTCAATAATTATCATCATGTCAACGTCAATATGAACGAAAAAATTTTGTCCTTGTCATAATTCTTCTAACCTACAACTATAATAAGGATTTTCTTAATTTAAGAGGCTAGAGGATCTCGAGGATCAAATGCTATACGTTCTCTGTGAAGATCAAGGAAGAAGGTAAATTAAATACCTAAGTATTCAAGACAAATGTAATATCATGGTTTTAAAAGAACAAATTCGCATATTTTTGTCCATCAAAGTGCTTTTTGTGAATCAAATTCAAAATTCAACACAAATTCGAAACTAAACTCATAAATCTCACATGTCATTCAAAAATGTAAATATTTACAATTGACAGAAAAAGTTTCCAACACTTAGGACATGCCCTAATTGGATATCCCTTTTGATCATCAATCAATTTACCCATACAATCCATATAAGGGCAATCAATAAATAGTGGAAAAGCCAAAATTTTTATTAGACGACTGACATCTCTTACTCTAATAAGAAAATCGACCAACATTATTAAATTGATATCTAAAATTTCCTTGCAATCAGAAGTAGGACACCTTATAACAACCTCTTGGATAACCTCATCGACATTTTTACCTATATAATTATGTATGCATTCTTCACAGTAATGATGGTTGCAATTGGTGCCCCATATCATTATGTTTGACAGCGAAAATACATCTTCACAGATCTCACAGAAAGTACATGAAGATTCCCCCTCTTAAGTAATACTATTCTTTAGGTCAAGTGAATCTGGAACAACAGAATACTTAATTTTTATAGGTTTTTTTACCAACACCATAATTAGAGCTTGATTCCAAGTTCTTACCAGAATGAAACTGAGCTGAGTAAAAGAGGATATTTTTCAACTCAATATCATCATCTCAGCTCTTATAGCCATTGTTATATTCAGTGATAGCAATGAAATTAGAACTAAGCAGGTAGGATAGATTTCAACTTCGTTGGAGTTCAAGATTTGTAAATTTGTTGATTCCATATCAATTTGATTGGATTTACGATTCGCAAATCTATTGTTTCCATTTCAACTTGATTGGAATTCGCGATTTCCCGAATTTGTTGATTCCATTTCTACATCGCTGGCTCCGGAATATCTCTGAATATTTTATCTTCAATGGGGTCTTCGGAAATAGTTCGACCCTCTTGATGATGACAATCTTTTTTTCTTGATCTTTGGCTTCGGCTGCAAGAATTTGGATATGATAGGGCGCTTTATTTTGCCGTCAGTAGAACCCTACATTTCTTGCTTAGTACACACACACATACACGCACAGCGCGCGCACACGCACATATACTCACACGCAGCACGCATGCACGAGCACACACACAGCACAGGTGCGCACACACACACATATCAAGTTCTTGTTTTTATTTAAATTTTTAGGGTTTTAGAATTAATGTGTATTATACCAAATTAAAAATATATTAATAATTTATGTGCGATTTGGTTTGCCCTGTAAGCCAAGTGAAACGGTCAATAGGTTCATGCCACATGTTAAAAGTGATACAACGTATCTAGTCAAATTAACCACTTTTGAGAACACGCCTCGTGTACAATTGACGTGTTTCAACCATTATACAATGTAAACTAAAAGTTTATTGGTAAAAAAATCATCCTAATCATAATACTTCCCTCTCAACTAATCGAATATCATCATGTCAACTTCAGCCTAATCTATCGGGAAAAAAATCCCTCATCACAATTGTTCCGTCCCAACATAAATGACATATTTCATTTAATCAAAGACCATTATATCAACCAAAATATGGTAAAAGAAGGTTGTCTTGACCATATAAGTTTCACCCTCGTAGCAGTTGCATGATCTAGCTAATCAAATATTGTCATGAGAATTTTATTTTGATTGGTCAAGAAGAATTTGTTATCTCTTCCATCTTGATACAAGGACATGTTTGAGTCAATCAATATCATCATGTCAACGTTAATATGAATGAAAAGAGTTTGTCCTTGTCACAATTCTTCTAACCTATAACTATCATAAGGATTTTCTCAATTTAAGAGGCTAGAGGATTTCGAGGATTAAAAGCTATAAGTTCTCTATGAAGATCAAGGATGAAGGTAAATTAAATACCTAAGTATTCAAGACAAATGTAATATTATGGTTTTAAAAGAACAAATTCACATATTTTTGTCCATCAAAGTGTTTTTTTGTGAATCAAATTCAAATTCAATACAAATTCAAAACTAAACACAAAAATCCTTAAATTTATATTCCAAGAAATAGATAAGAGGATTAATAGAGACTTTAACACCAATTATTCTTAAATATAATATCATGATTATTATTATTTACTTGGCATGAACTTTTTGTCTACGTCTCATTCTTTTTTTTTTGGAATGTATGAAAATTATTATGCTCTCGTACTTTTATTTTAAATAACTCTATTGACTTGAGAAAGTAACGTTGTCTTGTTAGAAAAGAAAACTTAGTAACGACCACCGAGAAAGCATATTAATTTAAGAGAAAAAAAATACAAACTTCTAAGAAGAAAATGAACTTTAAAAGGAATAATAATATAGTGAACTAATTTCAATATGTGAAGCGTTGAAATCGATCATCAAAAGCACAACAATATGCATGCATGATGGAAAGCTGGAGCAGTCATAATGGAGTTTTAGTTAAATTGAAGGACAAATATGTTAAAAGTTCTAGTTCATTCCATTGTAATAGCAAAAACCATGTCCGAACCTACCACTAAATAAAAATTTCTCAATTTAAATCTGCAAAGATATTAAATACTAATACTATATATATAGGACTAGGCAAGAGTTTTCCGTGCAAGCACGGGCGCAACGTTGCTAAATTGTGTGAGTCGAATGTAAGAAAAGTGCATATATAGAGTCATTCTATAGTATTTACATAATGCTGCAGTGTATTTACATAATGTTGCATTTCAATAGTGCAACTGAGCGCCAGATAGAAAGTCTCTGTGAAATAAAAAGGAAAATGAATTTAGTATATCGTTATGTGGAGGAGTAAAAGAGGAGTATAGTATTGGATTATTTAAGAATTTGTGAGTTATTGCAAGATCTAAGTACCTATCAATTTCCAAGAAGTAGGCAACAAAGCCCACGCTATCAACAACAAAATTGTACGCCATCAACAATTGTAGTAGTTGAGTAGACAAAATGGTGTTGCCAACCATATTGCAAAATAGTGGTATATACTACACTGTTAACAAAAGGAGATAACATTGGTTGTTGAACAAATAAAGTGTTGAATAAATATGTGATTATTTAGCTAGGAATAAGGTGAGTATCATTACAGGTTGCTATATTAATATAGCATCACTAGATTCAAAATCGATATCTGTGTAATGCTAATGTTTCGATGCCACATCCGTGTTGTATTCTTCAAAATAGCACAATTTTTGAAAAATCCAACACGCAATCGTTGACATTTTCGAAGAGTATGAGATTGTGCCCCTACATAACTGTGGCCTTTCAAAAAGGAGCATTCACAAGTTCCCTAGGTCTGTTCTACTAATACCTCTTCAAGATATGTCAAAAACAAATTACTTTTATCTATAAAATGAAATAATGCCTCTTACAGAATACACTATCCATCTGGAATTTCTTTAAGTTGGCTTTCATTATTAGTTTTCTAGAGTTAAAATCATCAAATTCTAAAGCAGAAGAAACATATGGACATTTCTTTCGACATCAATTTTTTTAAATATTTACCTGCACACAATTTAACTAAACTAAACTCAATTCATTTCATTATTTTATAAATGGAGAATAGCACTTCAAAATCACAGCAACAAACAGTCTCAAGCTAATAATAACAAGGCATGCCTAGCTCAATAACCATTTCCAACAAAAATAACAAAAGAAGAACCCCTCTCCGTCTAACCTCATATCCTGAGCGACTATTAAGTGACAATTTTTTATGAGATTGGACTAATCTTCAAGGAAAACCAATTGAAAAATGCAATTAAAATTTGCAAGCATAACAAAACAATGGATTTTCTTCAATGTGAGTTCAAAATTACCACAGCGAATGCTAGTGTGACTGATGGAGGTATTAACTTTAGATATTGAGAAAAAACATCTAATAATAAACCTCAACTTCATCCAGTACCCAATCTCCTCCTCATCCCCTTCTTTTTTCTTCCTTCCCTTTGATTTCTTACATCCCAAGACAACCCCTTTACAACATTACCACCTAATCTCATAGTTTATAAATACTAATAATCAAACTCAAAAATCATCAAACATCACCCCCACCCCTCCAAGATACCAACTTCAAATCAACCCCCTCACACAAACCAACAAAATCGGATTTTTTTTCAAATCATTAAGTTATCAGCTAAACAACTGTACCAAAGTTGCCTAATTAGCACAAACATTACCTAATGAAGATCCTTTTGCAAAACTTTGAAACTTACTACTAAAAAGCTTCTTTAAGGCTATATCGAGTAAATATTAATTTAAATGAAATTGTTACGTTCATATAAATGTTCCTAATTTTTTCGTACTGATATTTTACTCAAACTTGATGTGTGCAACAATGATCAAATTGTGAAAGACATGGCAGAGGTTTATCATGACTTTTCAGGTTAATAATATATTCAACTGTCTACACTTTCTATAACAATTAAAAATTAACTATTCCTTCAAGAAAGTATGTCACCGCGAGACGTATAAAGAAAATAAAGTCCATAGCAGTTATTGCAGACATCAAAAATAAAATTCATAATTTAGAGCAAACAGGTTAAATAGGAGGACACATATCGCCCGATCCTTTAACATAAATTTAAAAAAAAGCTTAGTATAACTTGCACAACAGGTATACCTATCCATATCTAGGTCTATGTAATAGGTTTCTTTTCCCTAGCAGAAATAACTTTTCATGAAATGATATTCTATTAAGGACGAGTTACAACAAATACCTCACCTAACCTGCACTTAACAACAATGAAAATGGGTCTTTTCATTTCAACTACCTCCACTATCCCCCACCCCAAAAGCAAAAGGACTATGATTTAAGTTCTAACTGAATCAAAAGTTCATATTTACCAATTTTCAAGAATTAAACTATTTAGAAATAGGCACAATTTGAATGTAGCTGAAAACTTACTTAATCAATCACGAGTTTTTCTATATTCCTCCTGTATATAATTGTGACACATCCATTCATCCTTAAGAATCAAGAACTGATATTGAAATTTCTAACCATTTTTGACTCTAAAAACATAAAATTTTGTTACTGTGTTAATCAATTGACTACTTTACGATAGCAAAATAATTTGGGCCAGCTATATGGGATAGTTAAGATTTACAAAACTCGAAACATAAGACTAAGTTAGTTCACCTTAAAAAAAATAAGGCGTCACAATTCTACAAAACCACAAAAGGAATCTAATGTACGGTAAAAACCAGAATAATAAGCAAGCATCAATGGACATACCAATAGCTCAAATTATGGTATAAGTTGTATATCTTAAACTTAACACTGCAAGTGAAAATGAGTGTAACAACTCAACAATGTAGAAGAACTAAAAGAGACCCAACAATGTGAATGTTAACAGACAAAGCATAGTAGAAAACTAACGATTGAGAACAAAGAATTCAATAAGCACAAGAAACGTCGAGTGTAGTCGAGTGAACTACACGTGTCTTGAATAAAGTGAATCATCAGACTGACTGCTTAGAAATGGTAACATTTTATACTGTTTATCTGTACTTAGAGAAACAAAGACTGTTAAGAAAATAAAATTGAACTTATTGCAGCGATTCTCACGAACATACGCATCATGAATAACGGATAGTGTATTTAAGCAAACGACAAGTAAGTTCTTAATGTGAAATCGCTTAATCCTGGCAGCTTACCATCTAGTATTTGATTTAGGTTTCGTTGGCAGACATAATTTCATCAAGTTCAAGAAAAATATCTCAATGATATTCCACTATTTGGTACCTCAAAAACAATTCCTAAAACTTTTTTAAAAAAAACTTTGCTACACCTTTGAAATAATAGTTGTAATTCATAGCACAATTCCTGCAGAATGTACCTTGTCATATGGTGTAACACCAGCTGCTAGAGAGCTACTATTTGTTCACCAAACCTCTCATCCTATCAAGAACTCAAACAATATGGATTGCAGAACATTGCAGTGGTGGGGGAAAAGATGCACCGATTTAAATTTTTTGATAGATTCCCTTAATTAAAATATAAATATTTGTAAATAAACAAATTTATGACTTGGAGCAGCTAGACAAATGTGTCCAATTCCCTCCTATAATCCAGACACTTCAAGTAGGAAAACTGAAAGGAACTACTCATCTCCTACTTTAGCGTCTTTAGAGTTTTCTTCGATCAGTTTAGTCTTCGCTTATATACTTAAGTTAAGCAAAATATTAAATTCTTACCTCAATGAAAATGTATAACACACTAGAACAATGTATAATTTTAGTGAAAAATCTGATGTTCCTCATTATGTACATCATCACTAGCCTATATTTTAAAAGTATCCAAGAAAAAATTTCTTATCCACAAGCTACAAACAACATAAGATAAGAAGTTCATGAAATATAACTATATTTAGAAACATCTGCACTAAGAATAACAGCATTGCAGCAAAAAGGAAGTAGGAGAAACCTTGGAGAAAATGGACACATGGACCTTTAGTCGTTTTGGTGTACGAGATATAGGCTAGTGCTATGCTCCAGGCAAATTGGGTTTCTTTTGTGTTGCACCATATCTCCTTCTATTGCTTCAATTAAATGGGAAGTAACAACAATCCAATCCTACATAAAAGAAAAAATAAATGAATATTAGGATATTAATGCATAGACAAATGTTTTGGAAATCACCCTGTTATCTCAAAATATTGACATAAAGTGTTTTTAGATAAGAAAAGAAAACGATTCAGAAAACTACAATCACAAAGAAAAGAGAAAAGAATGCAAATAAGCTACTGATTATCTTATAAAAGAAGTAAAATATATCAAATGCTCACCTTGTCAACCTTCTAATTTAACTTAGATATTCTATTCTCAATTTCACCTTTATGCGCTACGAAGTCTCTTTTCTCCTTTTTCTTCATTTCAACTTCCTCTTTTATCTTCACAACCAGCTTTTCAAGTTGATTAGCTTGTGCACAAACTTTCTCCTCAGAATGTAGTGTTCTCCTTTTCTATACAAAACCATACGACTTAAGGTGCTACGACTTACATCAACACTACAAAGGCATTTTCATAAAAGTAAAATAGCATACAAAGTCAATTTGCTAATTCGAGGGACTCACCTGTACAAAGGACAACTCAGTTGACAATGACTTGATACACCATTTACATATATACAAAAACATACAAAATATAGATGGATTAGTTTTAATATCTCTTCATTCTTTATATCTTTTCTAATATGCTCCGATGAAATGTTGGTGGCCATAAATAATGCCAATCTAACACAAAAAATTGGTTCGCTCGGAATCAAAGTTGTCCTGAAATTTTTTTTTCCGTTGAATTGCATCAAAAATCCATATGAACAGAAAGAAAGTCAAATTAATTACTGCATATGACAAAAAAACATTGAAATGCAACATGGGCGAATTGAAAAATGAAACAACAAAATCAAAATTGAAGCTTTAAATTATCAAGGTCTTTTAAGCAAAAGAAAAAATTGGACATGAAAAACTAACTCAAATTGAAAAAAACTCCAAATATGAAGACACCCAGATTGAACTCATGAACAAAACAATGTGAAAATAACAGCATACCAGCTAGAGTGAGATGAGAGAAATCAAATTGATACTAACATAAAAAAAAGTGAAAAATCAAAACTTCACAACATGTATGAATCTATTTTTTCTCAAGATTTTTATATTGAGCCAAAAACAAATTTATGAGGTGAAGAAACTCCAACATAAACCCACAATAATATAATACTAAAATGAAGTAATTCAAAAAGTTGATTCTGACAAAAAAATTGTATATGAACAGAAAAAAGTTATGAAAGAAGATCAACAAAAATGAAGAAACCCAGAATTTGATTCCAACAGAAAACCCAAATTAAAGGCACAAAAATTGAAATCATTGAAAAGCACAACAAAAATTGAACATCAACAACAAATCCAAATGAAAAAAAAGAGAAAAATATCAACACACCCAAATCAAATTGTTCAAAGAAAGATCAATTAGGAAATACTTTTTAATGAACTATCAATTTAAGGACAACAAAAATGCACAAAAAAAAATCAAAGAAACATTAGGAAGAAGCTTACCTAGAAATTCGAATGAATGCTATACAAAGGAGAAATTTTTATGAGCATATGAAGAAGAAGAAAGACAGTAAACAATGAGGGGGTGTCATATGTGTAAGATATGTAGCTATATTAAGCATCAAAAAGACAAAAATACCCTTAAATGTGATGACACAAGCATGTTGAACAAGTCATTTCTAATATATTTCTAATATTTCAGTAAGAAGAGTAAAACGATGTGAACACATTGAACTCAAAGTAAGAGTGTATCTGAATTGAATTTAAAAAGTAGCTTTTAAGTTAAAAATAAAAAATCAAAATGAAATTTCTTTTAAGTCGAAAAATAAAAGGTAGTTACTGTTGATTTTTGACATTAAGTCTTTTAAATGTATTTTAATTTATTTTTTACTTTTCCAAACACTTTTTAATTTTTTTAAGTCATTTTTGAATAATCTGAAGTTAATTTTTATATTTGTCAAACACAAAATAAAAAACTGATTTAAAAATCAGTTTGACCAACTTTTAAATCACCCTAACACTCTCTAAGTTTTTGAAAAGAAAAGAAAGTAACTTACATCTTGTGTCATAAAAAAAACACGTCAATAAATTTCAAAGTTAATTCCGAAGAAGAAAAAGAAGAAGCACTAAAATTGTAAGAAATAATTTCTCTTCATATGAGTTCATGTTTATTCCAAATTTGTCACCTTAATAGTATCAAGGTATTTACACCTATAACATTGAGCTTGTATGTTATCTGCAGGGGCGGATCAATATGTAAGCGAACGGGTACTGTCACAACACCAAACTTCGTATATATATATATATATATATATATATATATATATATATATATATATATATATATAATAATATGTACAATATATATTAAATTTGTCACCCCTTAAATTTGTCACCCCCTGTAACAAGCACATACACGGTGTCAGTGGTGAGAGGGAAAGTTTTCGACTTCATTTTCACAGTTTTATGTAACGCTGCATTTTCGTTCCTTTTGCCAAAAAGGCCCAAGCAATGTTTCGAACCCACAAAGCATTATTATTATTATTCTATATGATATCAACTGGTATCAAGTTCCTTTTATTTATTTTTAATCAAAGACCACAGGGTCATTTTATTTAAACAAAGGTGTAAAGACTAAGAGAGTTTGGGAAATTTTTGATATTGTAAAATGAATCAGATACCATACAATAAGTGTGAGCTACTACTTATATATGAGAAGAGGAAATAGTAACAAACTTTCTAACTAACTTTTCTAACTGAACCTAACAATATTAATAACAGAAAATAAGAACTAATTACACTTAATTAGTTAACTAACTACTTCTATCACTATCAGTTATCTTCAATAGTCCCCCTCAAGCTAGATGTATTGAAAACATTTAATACACCTAGCTTGGTCAATAAGAAGTCATGTTGAGATCTTCCCAAAGCCTTTGTTAACAAATCAGCTTGCTGCTCCTTAGTATTGATATAACTTGTCTTGATCAATCCTTGTTGCAACCTTTCACGGATAAAATGACAATCAATCTCAATATGTTTTGTACGTTCATGAAAAACTGGATTTGTTGCTATTTGCATAGCAGCTTTGCTGTCACAATATATGATAGTTGGTCCATGCACATTCATTCCCAATTCTTTGAACAAGTTATTCACCCAAACGACTTCAGCTGTTAATGTTGCTAAGCTTCTATATTCTGCTTCTGCAGAACTTTTAGAAACTATATTTTGTTTCTTAGACTTCCATGCTATTAAAGATTTCCCATACTTCAAAAGATAGCCAGTCACTGATCTTCTGGTGTTTGGACAGGCAGCCCAGTCTGCATCACAAAAACCAGTGAGTTGTGCTTGTTTATCAGAACTCATGAGTATCCCCAGACCTGGTGCTGTTTTAACATATTTAACCACCTTCAATGCTGCATTCCAGTGGGAAAGTGTTGGTTTCTCCATGAATTTACTTAAACACTGAACTGAGAAAGCAATATCAGGCCTAGTGTTAGTGAGGTATAGTAGTTTGCCAATCAATCTTTGATATTGGTTTATATCAGTAAATAGTTCATCAGAGGCATCTTGCATATAATCAGCACTTGTAAGCTTCATATTTGTCTCCAAAGGTGTTAAATATGGTCTAACTCCTGATAATCTTGTTTATGAAATTAACTCCAATGCATATTTCCTTTGATTCATCACTATGCCTTTTTCTGATCGACAGAATTTTATTCCCAAGAATACCTCAATTCTCCCAAATCCTTTATTTTAAAATGAAGATGCAGAATATGCTTTGTCTCCTGTATCAGTGCATAATCATTTCCAGTAATCATTAAATCATCCACATAGACCAACAAAATTACTAGTGCTGACTTCTTCCTCTTGGTAAACAAAGAGTAATCCAAATGACTTTGTATGTATCCAGAATTCAACAATGCATCAGTGAGTTTAACATTCCATTGCCTAGATGCTTGCTTGAGACCATATAATGACTTTTTTAGTTTACAAACTTTATGTTTCCCTTGACTTATGAAACCCTTAAGAAGTTCCATATATACTTCTTCATCTAAATCACCTTGCAAAAAAGCATTGAAAACATCCATTTGAAATATTTTCCAATTTTCAGTAGCTGCAATTGCAATAATAGTTCTAACAGTAACAATTTTCACAACTGGTGAAAATGTCTCCTGAGAATCAACTCCCTCAGTTTGACTGTATCCTTTAGCTATAAGCTTGGCTTTGAACCTGCCAATCTCTCTAGTGGCTTTGTATTTTATTTTAAACACCCATTTACAGCCTATGGCATGTTTCCCTGAAGGCAAAGTCACAACTGTCCATGTGCCATTATCTTCTAATGCAACAATTTCTTGTTTCATGGCTTCTACCCATCTTTGATCTTGAATAGCTTCTTCATATGTTTTGGGCTCAACTTCTCCAGATATTGTACTTAAATATGTCTGATAAGATCCATACAAATGATTATATGACATATAGTTGGCTAAAGAATGAGGATGAACTGAATCAGTCACATGAGTAACATAGTCTTTCATCCAAACAGGTGGATGAGACATTTTTGAAGAAACTCTGGGCACAGAACCAGGCATATCAACCACATTGTCATCACCATGCTCTTCAGTAATATCCTCAGAAACATGTTCATTAGGAACAAGTGCTTCAACATGTTCATCTAAAGTCTCAACATCTAGTGGTGTATGAACTTCAGCAGTGTCATAATCACAAAATGGCTGCTCAATTAACACTCTCATATGCTCATCCTTCAGCTGACTAAATGGAAATATGTGTTCTTTGAACACAACATCTCTGTTCGCAATAAACTTTCTTAGAGCCAGGTTGTACAGTATATATCCCTTCTAAGTTAAAGAGTACCGTACCCCATCATAACACATTGATCAACTCTGGAAGAAAACTTATCTTCCTTCACAGATTAGTTGCATAACATAAGCATCCAATTGTTCTTAGATGATCTAATTGTGGTTTAGTCTTGTGAAAGACTTCATATTGTGACCTTCCCTGTAGTACACTTGTGGGCATTCTTTGATCAAATATACAACAGCTAATACACATTCACCCTAAAATTTAATAGGAACGGACCCTTGAAATCTAAGAGCCCCTGCCACTTCAAGAATGTGTCTATGCTTCCTTTCCACCACTCCATTTTGTTGTGGAGTGTGTGGGCAACTACTCTCATGAACAATTCCCAAAGAAGTAAACAATGTTTTACATTAATTGTTAAAGAACTCTGTACCATTGTCTGATCTTACTCTTTTGATTTGCTTGTTAAACTGAGTTTTAACTAAAACAAAAAAGGACTTCAAGGTAGCAAGAACATCACTTTTAAGTCTCAATAAGAACAACCAGGTCACCCTTGAATTATCATCCACAAAAATTAAAAAGAATCTAAAACCATTATGAGTAGTATGTCTATATGGTCCCCATATATCAAGATGAATAAGATAAAAAAACATCATTAGTTCTAGAGCTACTCATAGGAAATGAAAGCCTGGTCTGTTTGGCTAATGGGCATATAGGACAATCATCACACACTCCTACAGGAACACTTTGATACAATTGCTTTAAGACTCTATATGAAGGATGTCCCATTCTGTAATGCCATATCATAAACTGTGAATTTGCCTTATTCATGGAGCTTCTGTCACCAACATTTGCAGCAACTGCCTTTTCTTCTGACAGATTTCTAGGAAAGTAATACAGCCCTTCATTTTCTTTACCAATCCCCTTCACCTCTCCATTGAAGAGGTCCTGAAATATGCAGAATTCAGGAAAGAATTGAACAGAACACTTTAACTGTCTTGTTAATTGGGACACTGATAATAAACCATGTTTAAGTTCAGGGACAACAAGAACATTTTCAACTACTTCATTAGTTGATATCATACATGTACCTGATTGTGTAACTAATGTAGTTTGACCATTAGGCAGATAAACCTTTCTCCCTGTGTTCTTGTTGTTTCTGCTAATCTTATTTAAATTCTCAGATTTAGATGTCATGTGACATGTAACTCCTGAATCCACTATCCAATGACCTTTCTTGCTAAACATATTATGTTCATTACTTGCATTCATAGCATCATCACAACTTCTTCTTCTATGACATTCTAGTAAAATATCAAAATCATTGGAAATGCATGTTGACCATGCCCTCAGCCTGCTTTTCTTCATTCAATAGCTTCATTATCTTTTGATATTGGTCAGGAGTGTATGTCGATTTCATTTCAAGTGCTTGTAAGTTTGTTCGAACAGAATTGAGATCATGTGATCCTTGTTCAGTTTTATCTCTTTCAATTGATTACTCCAAAAACATCTCCCTCACCATTTCTATCAACTTGTACATTATTTGCTATGCCCTTTCCTTTGTTTATAGTCATTCCAGTATCTGATTTCTTTTTGAATTTCCAGTCTTCAGGATATCCTACCAACCTATAACAAAT